CTACTTCCAAGTGTACAAGCCGCACCCAGTTTGCTACAAGACCGAGCAGACCTGGGGCGTCCCCGCGCGTATGCGCCGCGACACGCCAAGACTTGACAGGATTTTTCCGGTTAGGGCGTCCCATGTTAGCAGATCCTTCTAGCGAAATCATTTAGAGCAATCAGGGTGCGGCTTGTGCACCTAAAATTTTTTGAATGGATTCGGCTCTTATCACGACCCCTCCCCCTAGTCATATCCCTAGTACGACCACCCAGCACTGGATATGATGGACTCATATTAACATCCAGTGTTCAATATAACTCTTCATCTCTTGAGATAAATCATAAACAACTTTACGATGTGAGACATGTGCTGCCAAGATAAACAAGTACAATAAAACAATGAGATTTACAATCAGAAACCACCTCGTCGAGAGCAGGAATACATTAAAACAATTCAGATCAAACTGTACATGTTAATATGTCCATTTGATACTATGCGCTGGACCAGTACGAACCATATGCAGTAAATGAGCACGACCTTAGAGGCGAAAGCGATATGAGACTTATGAGAGCTTTGTTAAAACAAAATTAAAAATAGACGCTAAATTCATCAGATACCTATTCTGCTTATTACAATATATCAAAAATAGGTTGCCAAAAAGCTTAATCGTGCGCAGATTAGATCCACTTTTTGATCAAAGGAGGGGAGAACTGAGCAATGAAAAAGAAAGCCGATGGTCTAAATATTCAAACCTCAATTATATATGTAAAACTGTGTTACTTGACAACAAAGTGACAGTCGCTTCTTTTGAATGAGAGCGAGGGTCTTAACTGGGATTGGCTGCACGAATCCTGCTTGAGTTCACAATCATGACATCTCCATAGGCATTTACATCTCCATTGAGAACCCCTCTGTGCCCATGGAGGCAAACACTCCTGCTAACGGTTCGAAATCCGAATTGACTACGCTGAGTTTTGACACCAAAGACTGAGCAGCGCGAGCTAGAAAGCAGAAACTTTTATGAACAACAGAAGGTCGCTACGATTACTGCTAATGCAAAGCGTATGGAAGCTGAAGCTAGAAACCCACCGATCTCCGGATTTGAACTGTTAGCGTTTGCATCGAGAAGTGGTCTATCACTAACCCACTGTTGAGCAAGATTCTCATCATCGGCTATCCGGTCGCACATTTCAAGGATCTGTGAATTTAAAATTAGCTTCGAGTTTCAGAAAATAAAGGGTTACACTTACCTGCACTACCAAGTTGTCTTCGGTGAATGTCCGTAAGAGCTCCATCATGGAAACTGGGCTGTTTCTAAAATCACTGCAGTGCTGCCAAATGAGAGATGGAAAAGGCATAAAAGAAGTCTCACCTCACAAACAAGATTAGAGTCTTTTTAACGCCTTCATCGCACATCATTACCAAATTGAGAATGCGAAAACAAGCAACCAACGCATTCACGGTTTCTTTCCGATTAGAATCCTTGAATCATGCATTAGAAAAGAAGATGTACAGGAGAAAGAACAAGCTTACCGTAGCGTCAGCCCTGGTAGCAGATATGACGGTAAAAATTACGCCAACAATATTGTCGCCCTTCTCTTCCGTAACAGCCTGCATTACGGTGGCTCCCCATCCAGCACAACAGCTCAGTAGTAAGCCAGTAAGCTGAAATAGAACTCTAAGTTTCTACTCACAAAACGGAAAAAACTACTGCATACACGCAAGACTCGACTGCGTATGTTGGCACTTCCATGAGAGAGAAGATTCAGCAAGCAAGTTTGAAATGACTTCTGAAGATATATACATCGGTCAATTCAAATGATCTACCGAATGCGACTTACCTGTGACAGGCACAGATCCCGAGCTCTTGTTGCTTCTGGCTTCAAAGGCTCCATTAGAAGCGAGTTCAAAGATAGCAAGATGTTGTCAATCAATTCTTCCACCATCCCTCTCGTTTCCTTTGTTTGACCCCACTGCTCCAGACTGCAAATGACATATATAAGTTGTGAAGGAGCATGGGTGTAAAACGACATACTTCGAATACTGGTAGCAGAGTCGTGTGAAAATATCAAAGGCACCACATTCTATGAGCAGTCTCTGAAAGTGGACAAATTCTACCAAGAAAGG